GGTAGCCACGGCTGCTCTGCAGCTCATCCGGGGTGGCATCTGTGAGGTGATTGAAACCTCGGCATCCAGCCGTCCCCTGGCCAACACTACCGCCTGAGCCGACGCGCCTGCAGTCCAGGTTCTCGGCGAACCCACAGCCATCAGCTGTGCCTTGCGCTGCTCGAAGAGAACCCGTCGCATGTTCAACCTGAGGGAAGGTGTTCATGCACTCAGACGGAAGGTGCTATTTCACCAAGGTGCTCTGCGCCATGGTACACCTCAGCTCTCGTTTGTCAATGGTTGTGGATATGCGAGCTGTTTGGGACCATGGAACCGCAACGAGGACTCGGATTGTAGGCGATGGTAGGCTGCTTTAAGACAGGCACCTTGTCAAATTGTCTCACGTAGTCCTCGAAGCTGATGTCCTGATTTCCCGTCAGCCGAGAACCCATCTCATTCCGTGCCGCTTACTGCAAGGCCTGCATGGCAGCAACAGCATGTTGCAGTGCAACAAGCAAAAAGTGAAGACGCAACATGGCAACCTAAGCCGTGATGAAATACCACGTACCTACACAGAGCCGCTCTCACGTGGGGCTCTGTTGAAGAAGTGCGGTCAAGGTTGTTTACCCATGCACTTCCTTGTATCTCCATCTATGTTATGCTGCCACTTCTGTTGCTACAAATGACCTTAATGCGAACTGCGAGCCCAAATCCCAACATACAAGCATAAAGTCGCAGCGCCTGATGCAGAAATTGCAAATGTGATAGAGTCGTGAAATTAGCAGTCATGCCCTGACGTCTGTACCAAGCAGCAAATGCACAGGCAACGCGATGCTGAGGATTCCCCGCTTCCATCCAAACCGATCTAGCATGCTTACTGGCATCTACTTTAACTGCTAATCTAGATTGTCTGTCCGCCAGCACGGCCAGCCCGGTAATGCAACACATGCAGCCGCCTTCGGGACTTGTCGGGGACGCTTCAGCCTCCTTGGGCCTTGGCAGGTCTACGCAAGCCCAGGCCACTCTTTCCTCACCTAGGAGCAGCAGCAGAAGCAGAAGCAGAAGCAGCAGCACGCCAAGAGTTGTGTGTCGGGCTGGCACATCTTTAGTTAGGCTTTTGACCAACTGGGCAACGGCCTTTCACCTGCAGATCCGGGGCACCAGCGGCTTCAAAGCCCTCTCCCGAAGGCGCTCCAAGGCAGCCAACCTGAGAGCAAGTTGCTCGTGATGTCATCCAAACTCGATGCAACTCCCGGAGCGTTGCTTCGGGGATTCCTGACTGTGCTTCCAGGGGCCCGGGCTGTTTCTCAGACAACTTTGAGCTTCCGATTTTGGCGCCGTCCTCGTACTGCACGCACCCCTAACCAGCGACTGAGCAATACATCAACGCAGACTGCCTCTGCTGTCCATGCCACACTCTGTGCACTGAGACCGGACATGGTGGAATTCTCCCGAACTGAAGAAACTGCGGGCTTACGTTACATCCTTGGCGTCTTTGCCCTCCTTGCCGTCTTTGCCATCCTTTGCTGAGTCGGCCGCAACCTGCTGCAGGTTGGTCTAAGACGGCGACACTTGAATGGGTCTGTGTGTTGGCCAAAGGCCTAAGGCAGAACAAACAACTTGCTTGACGTCTGCGTGACTTTCGGTCTGCGCTCGGTGTGCAGTGTAGAGTGTAGACGCTTGCCCGTTCTCGGGGCGTATTGCTTTGCAAGTCTGCCCAGACAGCGAGCACGACGCTCGGCGCTGCGTCGACATAATGATGCACATAACAACTCCACCAGGCAGCTGTACGCCAGGTCAGGGCTGCAGATGCTGCTCAGGACCTTCTTGCGGCGTCATCTGCCTTGCGCTTGGAGTATTGCTTCAGGCCTGCAGCTTCCGCAAGAACTCGTGTCAGATGGTCGACGGAAACTCAAAGCATGCCGTACAGACTTGTGTTTCTAGCTGGCCTTCCTCCCAAGCTTCAGCTGTCACTCCGTCCGGGGTCTCGATGCAGGTCACCCCCAGTTGCGAAACATCCTAAAAATCTGCAGTGCTCCAGCACTCTATAGCTCGCTGAAGACGGTGGGCTTAGTTTTTTTCCGCCCGTTTTGGGTCAGTTTCCTGCCTGGTTCTCTTTTGGGAACTTTTTCCGACCCGCTTGCCCTGACTGGGGTCTCTCTCTCTCTCTCTCTCTCTCTCTCTGGTTGTCATTTTGGATCAGTTTCATCATGATCTCTCTGCGCCCTGATTCGTGTTTTGGATCTTCTTCCGACCGACCTGCCCTGTCTGGGGTCTCTTTCTCCCAGTGTTTTGTTCCCATTTTCCGTGCGCCCTTTCCACCCGCCCGGGTCTTTGCTGGTGCTGGCCCCCACAGGTGCCGCGACCACCAGTGCCTGCGCCTGCAGACCTAACCCTCCGTTCCGGTGCCTGCACCCCTCGAAAAAAGGCCGTCGACTTCTTTGTCAGTGCTTTTTTCTGCCTTCCGTGCGTCTCTCCACGGCAGTGCTGCGGTCCCCTTCCCCTTCCGACGTGTCGTGCGGCTTTGCCCTTAAAGCAGGCGAAAAAGGCCAAGACCTAGACCCCCCTCCAAACCCTTCACTGGCATGGTTTTTGCTTCCCCTCGCAGCTGGTCTCTTCGACCCATCCGCCAGCGGAGTCTTTATCCGGTTGCCTGGGTCTTCGGGCATTGTCTGTGCAGATTAACAACTCAGCCCGAAGATGGATGACGTCCTGAATATTCGAAGGGTCATCATCAAAGAACAACATGTCCTGAGTTGTGCGATCTAAGCGCAGGAGTGACTTCACAGTTCCGAAACACTGAAAGGACACAAGCTCAGCAAAAGCCACCTCAAACGCCACACCAGTCTTCGCAGCTAGCCGTTTGAAGTGCTCTCGCTTGCCTGTCGACAAAGATAAAGGAGCCAACATGTTCAACAAGCAGCTGTCAACACAGAGCACGGATTACACATACTCTAAAGGCAAGCTGCTGCTGAACATAATCTCCACGAGCTCGCCTCCTTCGGCAACGTCCCACATGGACACGCCGTCCTGGACACTTAGCGTTGTGTCTTTGCCCGGCTCGTCCCGCAAGTGTCCAAAATATCCCCCCCCTTCCCCGCTGCCTTTCCACCCCTTTCCCCATTCTCCCCCTCCGTTTCCCAGCCCCGCTCCGGAGGCATGCTGACCGAAGCAACCATCAGAAGAACTTATGCAAGTGCCAGAATCCTGCAAGCCCAGGCGGGCGTAGCGTTAAAACTGGTTGTGCATCGCGGGCTTCTGAATCCATGATCTAGGTGGTGCTTTCTGTCGGGATGCTGGTAGTCAGTCGTGGTCGTCGCATGGACAGGAAATCGAAGCATGCGAACCCCAGTCGCAGCCAGCATGGCCTGGACAAAGAACTTGCGAAGACATTCCCGGCCCCAGTCTGGATGATCGCATCGACTGGCAACACCCACTCGAGTGTCTGCAAATTTTGGAGAGGTGTGCAGCTCCTGCGCAATATCCACAGGAATTCGGCAAGGTTGACAAAGGCAGAACACGCAGGACTCGCAGCACCACTACAGTCCTTCCAAATATGCCGGACATTACCCAGAAGTCGTACGGCTTGACCGCCAGCAGTTTTAAGCACACTTGGATCTGCTGTCGCTGAAAATGGTGCACCTTGTCGAGACAATACTTGGCAATGTGAGATGCCGGATTGCACCTGTTTCGGTTGACTCAGAACCAGCTTTCTGTGATGCCTCTTCGGATCATATACATCTCAGGATACCAGCAGCACGCATCCAGGTCGAACACCACCAGTGCCGGCGAAACCATGGCAGATGCGCTCGCAAAGAGAAGTTGCTGTCTGCTCATCTGCTCAAAAAGTGAGTCCAACATTCGTCTTTTCAACGCTAGGCTAAGTTGTGGGCCACTCGCAAGAAATGCGAGTCGATGTGAGTGAGACGGCGTTTGACTGAAGGCTGCGGCGCACGATGACAGCAGTCTGACGCAAGCCCTGTGCCCAAGTGATGCGAGAAAATGAAACCTTGACAAGCCCTGCATGGCCTTGGGTTGGCTGGAGGGCTTTGTGACTTTCCGCCTGCCCAGTTTGACATCTTGTCAGCAAACAGCCCAGGTTCCCAGCAGAACCATCAGAAAAGGAAAGCATCCATTGTGGGATGCGCCTCTTCTTGCGGCCAAACTCATCTATCTCCTGGGGTGGCAGCATCACATGGAGACGGGGTTAGCGGCAATCAGTGAAGCCTCGTCATCGGAGTTCCAGTCATTGTGTGGCTCAGCCGGATGTATTGGCCTTTGCAGAACAGCGCGAGCGGCGGAAGTCTGAAGAATCTCCGCCGACGCCTTCTTGGGGCAGGCGACCAGAGACCGCCTATGGCCGGGCCCAGGCATCCGCCCATGCCGCCCATACCTGCAAAGAGATCATCGCTCTGTGCACTCCGCCACTATCCGCCACTCTGCTCACTGCGAAGCGCCGACCTGGGCACATTCCGCCGATGGGCGGTCGCACACCCATCGGTGGCCGCAGCATGGGCCGTGCCTCAGAGCAGTGCACACGAGGGCGGTCTCAAAGGCTCCCGTCGTGGCACGAGTTCCCGACCCCGCTTCCTTGGGCAAGCCGCTCTGCCTGAAAGTCACGCGGGTTGCCTATGAGCATGATATGAGAACAAGTGCCAAATGTTGATTGCCAACGCCTCTCGGCGCTTTTGCTGCAACCAGAACTCTTGGTTGAGCGCCATGCGGCATGCGGCTGATGTGGTGCTGATTTACTCTTGCTTACCGTAAAGTCCAGGCTGGAACCGCTCAGCGCCATGACAGCACAGGACAGGTCGTGGTTCGGACTGCGACCCGTGTCGTTCATTGAAATGCCGCAGTCTTGGATCACTTGGCTTGCTTGCAGCAGTGGGCAGGGGTGCCATGCTCATTGAACCACAACGGGCTCTGGGCTCTGGTAGGGTGATGGACGTCGCAATTGGCTTCCATTTACCAGCAGCAGCAATGCAAGCGTCACAACAGAAAGCAGCAGAATCGAACATGACCTTGACAAGACGTTCAGCAAGAGCTTCAGGAGGTGTGTGCGGATAGGCGTTCGGCGCCTCAGACAGTGACGGGTCCCATCATGTGAGACTTCCAGGGGGCAAATATCACCATGTTTCAGGGCATCACGGTTTCAGACACACATGATGCGCCAGTTCTCTAGACTCTAAACAACTACACATCCTCTCCAGCTGCTGCGTACTGCAAAGCACGCACACGTCTCTGGGTTTGCCATGCCACACAAGCGGAGGGCCGCACTCGTGCAGTGAATAGTGCGACGTCAGGTCCAAACGAGTGAGGATAATGTGAATCGTCCTGGCTTGGATTGAGCATCCCTTCTACTAGCGCCATGTTATTCTCTGCTCTTCAAGCGGATGGGGATTCTCTTAGCCAATCAGAGCACTCACTCGGCATAGCCTGGATTGGACAAATGACAAGAGTTCCGAACACGTTCAACTGACGTTGCATATTGCCACTGCCAGCCTGCCGTAGGAGAACAACGATTCCGGGACGCACTCCTTCCATTCATGGCAGCCGGCTTGGAAGGGTTGCTTGGGCTTGTCCCAAGTTCCGAGAACTTCGCCCAGAAGCTGATCATGAGTCTCTCCTGCTCCGCAGCCAACAGCCGCTGCTCATCGTACCTGCTGTGGAATCGCACGATTCCTGCCTCCTCCTTCTGCAGCAGCCGCGACAAGCATCCAGCCGGCTTCGTGGGCACTTGATGAGTTTGTCCACCATCTCACCCCTATCAAGGTCCGACTGCTGCATCACCAAGTTCTCCACCTCAATACCATCACGCCCTGTTTGCATCGCAAAGCAACACAGCAGGAGGCATAAAGCTCAAAACGAAGTCAAGCTCGAAGACCATAGCAATGCTTGCACAGGAAGAACCTTGAACCCAAAAGAAGTTGGACACGGCCTAACACCGAAACAGCGTGAGAACGAAAGATGGTTTGCCATGCATAACCAAAAAATCTGGTGAGCCCGCCCGAAAGACGAGCCTCAACCGGCCCAACGGAATGACCACCCAACCGGCATCCTAGGATGGCAACCCGAAACCCTGGTGGCCACAAAACATACGGCAGGCTGATACCTGGCCGACTTGCCCTTCAAGAGGTGGCTTGCAAAAACCTAACTAATCCTGGACACAGCAATTGCTCGCAAGTCCCGAATGGCAACCGCCCACAAACCCCGACACTCCCAAAGCAGATGACATCTGTCAAGCCCGACATCAGAAACCCACAGCGATCCGTCAACTGTGCACTCTGAACACGGACCATGGCTGCCCAACTCCCCAAACCCTAAAAAAATAGAAGCCAGCATTTTACAACAACTCAAACTGAAACTCAAAGGGCGCAACAAATAGAGTAGCAGGGCTGACTTTGACTCAGCGCCTAGAGAAAACCTAACCGTCGAGCCACACCACATCATGGGTGCTAAAGCCCATCTGATCTGGGCCACCATCACACCAAGGCCCCTGCCCACCGCGAAATCGTTCCCAGCTGCTGCTGACCTGGCAAGGCTGATCGACCATTCAGGTCCGTCGTCCAGCCCTCACACGCAACATTCAATTCGACTCGTGCACCTTCCTGCCCTTGCGAGCCGGGCACCTGCACAGACTTCTAGAGAAATTTCGTGGGTGGTGCTGTGTCGCGGAGTAAAAGCCGCGCTACATTGAATGCAACGTGCACAAGACTTGTTGCAAACAGACGGACGTTCACGCAAGACGTTCGACTCGGGGCAAAGGTGGCATTGTTTTGGGGGGTGGTCGCTGCCCACCATTGTTGCCCAAGCTTCGCCTCGAAAGGATCAAAGGCCGCCTCGAGATAAGACTGCAGAGTCCGCCGGCACCTCAGAGTACGATGCCAAATCGGGGCCATGTCACATTTGAAGCCCTCCAAGGACATGTACATGCATCAAATTCACACGTTGCTTGGACCGTCGTGCACAAAGACATTCAAGCTGGATCAATTGGTTGTCTCGGCCTTAAGGCTGAATGACCTTGGTCTTTCCGTCTTGCATCAGCTTTGCATCAGCTTGTGCTGCTGACACATGTAAGAAGTTGAAGCTCACGAGATGATTGCAGAACGCCACTTTTTGGCCTTTACCCTTCTGCATCGCGCGGTTCCCGTAAACGATCACAGGTCATCCTCACACCGGGCGCATTACTCGTTCTTTGCACACGAAGCATGCGGGTTCGAGCGCCTGAGTTGCAGGTCCCAGTCTTCATGCACCACCTTCACGGCAGAATTGAACAACGCGTTGATCTCACCTTTGATTGCTCGGAAACCAAGTGCAAACGTCCAATTATCGTGCGAAGCTAGACATGATAGTCGTGCAAAGAGAAACCGACTCCACTGATTGCACACCCTTAAAGCGGCGAAAACCAACCAAGTTGCCCTTCCTCTCTGTTGCTTTTCCAAGCTACCCATGCGCTGATGCCACGAATCAAAGAGTGCCAGCATGTCTTCGTCGCAAGGTACCAAACTGCCAACCTGACCAGTGCGGATCGAAGCATCCCAACAGTGAAGACGCTCTCCGGTCGTCATGATGGTTGGTTGCAAAACTTGCTTCTTCACACATCGTTCCTTCCTCTTTTCCTCCAGCTGCCGGTGCGAAGAGCTTAGGAACCGCGCTGGCATGGATTCCCTTCGAAGAAAAGTGAAACCTCATCCAACACGGTATAGAAAAACTCTTCGCCTCATTTGCCGGGTTTTTCCCCTGGTTGTTTGGAGTGTAACGTGGCTAAGGGCTGTGCGATCCTGCAATCTTTCACGCGGACACTGACCTTGACCTCTCAAATTGAGATAAGCCTTTCATCAGTGCCTGCGTAATCTCTCTCGCTCTCGCTCGCTCTGTCTGTCTCGCCCGCGCTCGCTCTCCCTTTTTTTCTTCTTTCGCCAGGGCTGTGACGCAAGGGGCTGCCTCTCCCTCTCTCTCTCTCCCTCTCTCTCTCTTGCTTGCTTGCGCGCTTGCATGGCGGTCCCTTGTTTGCTTGTTTGCCGTGAGGCAAGGGCCAAATGTCCTCTGTCTGTTCAGGAAAGGCCTCGTGGAAACCGTCAAAGTTGAAGGTCGCAGATCCGGATGGCCCATCATCCGGCAGGCTCCTGATGTGGGCCGGATCAATGGGTCGCCACGCGCCTCAGGGAGGCACGATGCTTGTCGGATCCAGCTGAAGCTGCGAAACATGATACACACGAAATCTACTTGCAGACGCCAGTTCCAGTCGAGAAGCCGGTGATGTCCACCACACGCAGCGTCGGAAGGGTGCGAATCTCCCTGGCAAGCGCCTCGCACCGATGTAACGATACCAACGAGTCCGCATGAATCACGGAAACTGAAAGCAAACAACCCGCCAAGCAGTAGTCAACGGATGCTGTATGCCCGCGCATGGGATGCGCATGATGTGCTAAAGTACAGCAGTCAAGCACAAGACCTGCCAAATGAACGGGGCTTGACTAAGCAGAAAGCCCTCTGGAAAGCATAAACATCGGGATCGAGTGACGTGTACAATATCTTACCTTCAACTTCGCATTTAGGTCAATGTAGGTGAACCTGCTGAACTCCGGCCCACGAAGCCACCTCCCAGCACTCAGTTTGGGAAGAGACCGCTTCAGCCACCAAGCTTCTTGCACGGCATTCAATGAGCCTGCAAGCTCTGACAAAGCGAAACCTAGGACTGCTTGCCAGCATGTCGTGTCCTACTTTGTTGGAATTTTTAGAAAGTTACAATGTAAAACGTTAAGATCCTGGGGAGGCTGTTACATACAGGAAGACTCAGGAAAATTGGCCCCCCCCGTAGCGAAAAGTACGAAAATCGCAGACAAACGAGAAAAGTCGAAAGGGCGAAACGCGCCGAAAAGTGCGAAGAGCACAGACAACACGAAAATTCTAAAAACCCGAAAAGCACCGACAAGCGCGAAAAGCACAGAAAAACGTGAAAAGTCTAAAAGTCACAACTCAAAAAACGAAAAGTCTAAACGTCTAAAACTTTTCGCCTTTTTGACGTTTCGTCTTTTCGAGACATTTAATTCGGTCTCCCGCTTATCGAAACCAATGCCTGCTTGCATACTTAGCTACGCCTGAGGGTGCTCCAAATCTGAACACCTCTGCCAACAGCCTCATCTTCACAGTCCAAGTAGCGTTGCATGGGGAATTTGAAGAACACGGACGGCCGGCAAAGCCGCAGATGCGCCTTCTGCAAAAGCAGCAGGGCTGCCACCTGCTGACAGTCTGGCATTGCAGAGTGAGAGCGAGAGAACCCCGATGGCCTGGTATGCACACCACCAAGTGCGGCAACTGCAGTGTCTGCAGCTGCCCTGTCACTTGACGGAGAACGGTCCAAAAGCCACAGGAATCTGGAGTTTGGCCTCCTGCAGAAATCACGAAGCCCTTTCAACAACATATGTCTTCGTTTCAGCTGCTTGCCGAAGCCTTTCCTGCGTTGATCAGAAAGTGGCCCAGGCATAACTCCTAGGCGTATGTCCGACTGTTGTGGCCGGACAGAACCGCCACGAAAACAACTTCTTGCTGGTAGCAGTGCGGAACGCTACAGTTCTGCTGCACTGTGTACATGCATCTGATGTTGACAGCAAGACCACGTCGGACGACAAACGATCGCCTGGAATTTGACACCACTGTGCACGAACTTGGTCTTCCTGCGTGAGCCTGTTTCAAAGGTTCAGACCTCATGCAGTTGTTGGGTCCGCGGTCCGCGACTTTGGTTCCTCCCTTGTCCCGCGGCTCCCTGAGGGGCCTGACGGTTGGCCTGCACGCTTTTGGTTGCTGCCCTACGCAACGCACACGAACCGCTTCGCATGCCACCCTGCATCTGCGGTTCTTTTCAAACCACCTGTACAATTCCTGCCCATGCATCGGCCTACGCCATCCTAGTCCTAGCCGTCCGAGCCCTGTGCAAACCCAGAAACAATGTCCTGCAGGCGGGTTCCACCGCAAGCAGCTAGCGGCTCCAACAAGAGGTTCCAAGAACTGCCACCGAAGGCCTCGACAAGAAACTAACATACGAAAGCCGGACAACGGTAAAAAAGCCTTCGCTCTTGGTTCCTGGAACAGCGCCTCTGCATGGCTCACCTCCAGGCGCCGCAAGCACATCGTCGCAGGGCTTTGCACTCGTCTGCGTGGCAACTTCTGCAGTCGTGCCAAGTGCCTGGGACCACAGCAACCGTTGTCCGGTGCAGTTTATGACAGGAGAGAAACAAACGCTGAGCGAGGATGAAAATGCTGCCCCCACCACACGCCTGATTTGCACGTTTCGCCAGGGCCAGACGCCGCAGAAAGTTGTGGTGCAGAGGGCGGATGCCTGCAGCACAAAGCAGTCTCTTTCATTACCTACAAGCAGGGCTGCTGTGTCAAGAAAGCCTCTGCAAGGTTGAGGGCATCCAGTGTCTCCGGCATGAGCAGTTGTGGTTGAATTACCATGGCGAACCCGGAGCTGACAGCCGAGAGCTGGCACAGCATGATCCATCAACTGAAAAGGGTCCCTGTGCAGATCCTCTCAAGCTGCATGCTGTTGAGGCCATCGACTCTCTCGGAATGGATGTCAAGTTCAATATCGCCGGGCATAAGTCCAGCGCTTGTCTTCCAGATTACAGCAGCCCTCATGGATTCGATGACCTGTGGCAGCAGTCGGCCATGAAAGCTATCGCATCTTGAATGCTTCAGGTCTGCAGGCTTGTTGCGCACATGGTAGATCCCTTTTGCAGGCATTTGCAAGCAGTGTCCCTCGAATACAAGCCTTCGATGCTCTATGTTGGCTCGTGGCATCACTTCTGAGGATTCCCCCTTACTCGACTAAGATCCCTGTAATATTTTGGATCGACAAGGGGGTCCTCTTGCAATGTCCCCATTTTGCAATATCTCGCAATCCTGCCTAGGATCGTCATGATGAGCTTGGATGCTTCCACTGTAACCTCGGCACATCTAGCACACCTACAGCTATGTTGTCCAAGTTTGGAGTTTGGAACTCGCCTCTGACTGTAAGTGGCCAGCCTGCTGGGGTACGCCGTCTACTCCCACTAGGCTTGTGGCCAGACCTGCTTGGAGTGCGAAGGGCCGTAGTCGAGACTGCAGACTCGGAGGCTGTGGCCGAGGGTCTCTTCATGAGTCAGAAGGCAGGCCTGCCAGGCAACGAATGCTCCTAACTGCTCTTACAGGACGGGACGGAATAATAGCTTCGGCGTGCCAGGTCCCGCGAGCTGGCCAGCTGTGCCAGCTTGGTCAGAAGCTGCCATGTGGTAAGGTGGACAGGGAATCAACTTCCGACTGCATGCCCATCAATTTGAGCCCTGCAGATATCAAACTTGCTAGCAGCACTTCTGATGCAAGTCCAGCTGTGTCTGCACCCAGCCTCGAGCACACAACTTTATGCAACACATGCAGAAGATGCGATTCACAGCTGTAAAGCTGAAGTCGGCGCTCGAGCTGGCCAAGTTGTTCTCTGAGCTGTACTGCCAAGAGAAACCTCGCTGGAAATCAGCCAAAGGCTTGAGTGGCAGCGCATGCTTCAACAAGTCACGACTCAGAGTTCAGCGGCTCGATGTGCTCGTGGCAGGCGTTGATGTCATCTGCTGTTTCATCCTTGTTTTTTATTGAAATTAGTGTAGCTAGCATGCAGCCCAGCCACTAGCATAGACATTTGCAACAGCAATGGTCTGTCTTCCGCACACATCATGAGTCTATGATGCTCTTATCGAGAAGACCGGATGTCCAAATGATATCCCGGATCGGCGTCTTACAGGACCCCGTGGGTCGCGTGCAGCAAAAAGCGTTTCCACCTCGTGCTGGCTGAAGCCGAGACCTGTGGTTTGATGCAGCTTTAGCTCCAAACAGATAGAACGAACGGCGCCTCACTGACGACAAATACTGTAAAGAGTTCCGTTCGACAGACCCGCAGAATACAAAATGCGCCTGGAAGGCCAACCGGCTCACTTGTGTCTGTCCGGAGCTGGAGCCAGCGGGCCACCTGAAAACTGCGCTTTCTCAAGCACCGCGAGGACTTGTGGCACGCCCGTCAAGCTTTGCGTAGTCTGGGTTTGATAAAGCAGTGGCCACTATTATATATATATATATATTAACGGCTATTAACGACGTCTGAGCGACTTTCCCTCCCCGGTATCTGACGGTTCCACCCGGGTCGGCTGCGAGGACAGCCTCAGATGTGCAAAGTGCAGGCTCTTGCCCACCGGACAAACCGTTCGATTAACAGGTCATCTGGCATCCTCTACCTACCGAGAAGCAGGTATCGGTGCAGGTCGCGAGATTGCAGTTGCACAACAGCTTCTTGCCATCGCCTGCCACGAGACAAGAATGACTTCCACAAGCCGCATGCCTCAAAACAATCCTTTGACTGGAGCTACCAGGCCAACCCAGTGACACGGACACATGACACATATCTAGTCCGATATTATCTCTTTCAATAATCCCCTAACTGTTGCCCTAACTGAAGCCATTGTCTGCGTCAGGCAGACTGACCCCCCATACAGTGAGCGGAGAACCGAAATTCGTGACTTACGCAGTTGGCATGTCGGCTTGAGGGCTGGCGGAGCACTTGACTGCATGTAGCCAGACTTCTCGAAGCTCCGACTCCACTTTGACCTGGCTGGTTATCACTCTCTCAGAAGCTCGTCTCTTGTCAACCCTTGGCACTACACTCCCCCTGGTTTGGGAACTCAGCAAGGCAGGCCACGCTTTCTGCAAACCATTTGACATCTTCCAGCTCTGCTACAGACAACCTCGGCGGAGCTGCGGCTTGCAGTCCAATAAATTCTGCTGCACTGCAAAGGGGAAAGAGATTCGTTCTCGGACCCCGGGCGCTTGCAGCCAACCGGTGAGGTCTTGCCTTGCAGGCAGGACGCGACTATGCAAATGCATCGCCTCGCTGTGTTGCACACAATGCTCCGGCTTCCCGTGTTGCTGTTTCTGAGCCCAGTGCGGACTGACTTTGCAATCACGCGAGATCTTGTGCGGGAGCAATGCCTGCTTCATTTATTCCTCCCGTCTGTTCATCCTAAAGCTGCAGTTTGGCCTCCGGGATGGGCATTGGACCCTTCGCGTCAGCCTCAAGCATTGAAGACATACCACATTCTGAGAGCAACTCAAACGAGACCTTAAAACAAGGCATGAATTGATTCCGAAAGAAGCCATGCCTGCATGGCATCCAGAATATGAGCAAGCTCGACCTGCACAGCAGAGCTGCTCTTAGTCAACAGGTTTTTTGCGGCAAACATGCCGTATGCCATTCAACACTTGACTCAACCATCCCTTCACGCGACCTTGCTGACAAAGCCGCGTCGCTTTGAATCTAAGACGCGAAAAACCTCAGGTGCAAACAGCGGCGGTGTTTCGCTTCTGTTGTGCTGTGCTCAAAAACAAGCTGACACTGGGCTGAACATTGCTCTGAAAAACAAGCTTGTGAGTCCATCGCCTCTTCCAACAAAACGGCCCTTCGTGTCGGGCGACTTTCCTCTGCCATCTTGGCCTCATAGTGAACCAGGGCAGCAACCGACATGACATCGAAATGAAGCGCCCATTATCTGTTGCTGTGACAAATGTATACGAAAAACAGCTAATGGCGCGGCGGTCAGTCAAAGTTGGCCGGGTGGCACACAGAACTGCGGCTGTTTTGCCTCCTCGAACTCAACAGCATCCATCACCGACACATGTGTTGAGCGATTCTTCAGGTTTTGGTTGTTAAGCCGATGCCTGAAACCGAAGAGCAACCACATGTGCAGTTTCTGTTGGAGTTACAAACTCAACGAGCGTGATAATCATGAAACATTCGTAGCTTTATCGTGTGCAACAAGTTTGCTTGGAACTGCATCTCTCAACATATGAAGCTTGAACCTCAAGAACTCCGTATCTTTACAGTGCATACAAAGGCTCCTCGCAGCAACAACCAAAAACTGCGAATCTGGACAAACGATGCTCATGCTTGCACTTCCGCGCAATCTCCCTGCCGCAACAACGCAAACTCTGAAAATGACAGCTTTGCATTTCGAAAACTTGTTGTCAACGATTACAATGGTCCAAAACCGTAAAATCGAAAATCATCCGGGGTTCGATCAAATCTGTGACAAATTGTCTGCCTGGTGCTTGAGTGAGGACCATCGGTTCATCGATAGCGAAAGCATTAAAATTGGAGGCACATGTTCTTCTAAGAGGCTCCGTCTCATGGATGTTCCCATTTACTGGCATTACCACAAATCATTGCTGCAAATTTCAAGCCCAAACAAGATTCGTGAATCCTTTTTTGGCGTGGTTCGGCCTCATAGACTGCGAAAGCTGCAGCACTCGGTCCGAAGCAAAACGGCGCTATTATCTGTGTGGAATGTGACATGTAAAATCACTATCATTGTGAGTTTTCCCACCATATGAACACAATGTCGAATATCTGAAAATCAAAAATATCTTCCGTACAATAGTTAGGAAGGATTCCAATCATAAAAAGCATTCGCTCGGACAGGCCTTCATTTTCATCCAATGGGGAATGCCACGACTCCCTGCAATCCAACGGCTGGTATAGGCTCAAGAATTCAAAGTCAGGGTGGGTTGGGTGGATCAAAACTGCACAACCAAAATTTATTGCTGTCCCACCCTCCCTCCGCTTGAAGAACGAGCGAGGGACAAAAATATTTAATGTTCAACAGCCCACCTGCAGCAAAAAATGGGAGATACAACTTCAGTGAGAAAACATGCCGACAGTTCTTGCGACGAAAAACTTCCACAAAGGAAAATAAAGCGATCATCCATTCGACAGGATGTACTTGTTCTCTGTTGTGGAACATGACATGAACAATACACAGTTATTCCCACCACATGAACCCAGTCTCGAATATCCCATGATTTTCAGAGGGCGGAAATTTGAACTGTTGATGCTGCTTTCGCCAACCGAAACAGCAATCGATACGATGATGCTCGAAAGTTTCTTCAAACAACGCACTTCAACAAAATAGCTCCAAGAAAACTTGTCTGAGCAAAAACCCAGGATTTTCACGAAACTTTCGCATACATTTGGCACGACCTGAGCTCGTGCAACTCTAAGACTGGTGCAATTGATTGCGCTTACTAACTGCAACCTTGCAACAAAGGGAAAGGGCACTGCCCGAATCGGACGACAAGAGTCAAACCGGCAGGAGAGACCCGAAAAGAGGACAAGTCAAACCGGTACAAAGCAAGCCCAAACGTTGCCGAAGAGAAGCATTCACGCGCTTGCTTACTGTGACCTAACCAAGGACTGACAACTGTCAACCAAGTGAAGTCCGCACAAGGGACTTTTGTGGCGGCCCCTGAGTGTCTTTGCGATCTAATATGGAAAAGAAAACTGGCAGGGACCCAACTGGTTTCAGAAAGCTTCCAACCACTTGTCGAACTTTGACAGAACTCTGCACGACAGGAAATCTGGGAAAACAGGTTGCGCAAACCTGCAAGATCACACAGACTCTCATTTTAGGAAGTACTGGGGATTCTATCCGAACGGCCTAGTGAAGCTTTTTTTCTTCCGGTTTTTGGAAGAAAGCAGACCAGATGCAGTTCAAGGCTTTTCGAACATGCAAGAACGCTGTTTTGCCAAAAGGACTTTACAACCGTTTTCAAGTTGCACCAATTGAAGTTCCGAAATGTTTTTGCTTTTCGTGCGTTGAAGAGGGCAAAAGATCGCGGCAGCAATCTTCCATGCGAAGAAATTGCTGGTTGGAACAGCAGAGTGTCGCTTCTGCTTCCATCCAACGGCGGAAGAACACTGCTTCTCCTGGTTTGGGCTCCTGTGAACGTTGCAGTTGGTATGTGCAAACACCGCCTTTGTCACCAACATAACTGCCATACTGCCAACCTCCACTCTTGCTTTTCTGCTGGTTTGACGCTTGTCTGCAGGCAGCCTTTTCCCTTTGTTGTAAGCTTGCAGTCGTAAGAACACTACTTCTCTTCAGTTTCTGGTTTGTGTCTGCTTTTAGCAAGTGCAAAAACGCCGTCACTGACATGACTGCCATCACTGCCAACTTCCGCCCTTGCCTTAAACACGACGGTCGCTCCACGGGGCTGGTTCCCGGGACCCTTCCTCGACGAGACCTTCGAAGCCTTCGAAGCCTTCGAAGGTCGACGGGTCGAAGGGGGCGGGGGGGAGGGGGGGGGCCGCCGAAGGTGAGGAAGCCTTCGAAGGCTTCGAAGGTGAGGACGAAGGCTTCGAAGCCCCCTTCGAGGCCTTCGAAGGCTTCGAAGCCTTCGAGGACGAGAACGAAGGGACCTTCGAAGCCTTCGAAGCCCCCTTCAAAGCCTTCAAAGGCTTCAAAGCCCTTTTCCAAGCCTTCAAAAGCTTCGAAGCCCCCTTCAAAGCCTTTGAGGCCCCCTTCAAAGCCTTCAAAGGCTTCGAAGCCCCCGTCCGAGCTTTCAAAGGCTTCGAAGCTCCCAGAAATCAAAACCTGAAGTTCTTTCCAAACACAAAAAGGAGAAAGCCACACGAGAACGCTTTGGGATCAAAAAACGAAGAAAAAGATATGAAAGAAGAAAATGAAACCAAATCCATTTTCAAACCTGATTTCAAAACCTGACATTCTCCAGGAAAGCCACACGAGAACGCTTTTGGGCGCCAAAAAACGAAGAAAAAGTTCAAAACCCTGACGTTCTCTCCAAACACAAAAGGAAACGAGAACGCTTTAGGGGGCCAAAAAGCGAGGAAAAAGAGATAAAAGAAAACCTAACGTTCTCTCCAACGAAAAGGACAAAGCCACACCAGAACGCTTTTGGGGGTCAAAAAACGAAGAAAAAGAGATGAGAAGAAAATGAAACCAAACAAAATGTCGGGCGCGAAGCCCCCTTCGAAGGCTTCAAAGCCCCTTCGAAGCCTTCGAAGGCTTTGAGAAGGAGCACGAAGGGAGCTTCGAAGGCTTCGAAGGGGGGGAAGGCTTCCAAGCCTTCGAAGCTGAGGCTGAAGGGGGCTTCGTTGACCCTTCGAAGGCTTCGAAGCCTCCTTCACCTTCGCGAGCTGAAGGAGGGCTTCAGACCCTTCAGTTGAAGGGGCTTCGAAGCCTCCCCTTCGACCCTCTACCTTCGAAGGCTTCGAAGGCTTCGAAGCCGAGGACGAAGCCCCCTTTGGAACTGAAGCCCCCCTTCGTGAAGGTCTCCGGATCCTGCCTGCGCTCCACTGAGCATAGGTTTTTGGAATGTTCTGGAACCCAGGGTTCGAACTCCTCGGGGGGCCGGGGGGGGGAGAGAACATATAACTCCGGAACTCAGGGTTGAACCCTGGGTTCGAACTTCTCGTACCCAGGTTCAGCCTGGAGTTTGAACTCTATGTTCGAACTCTGGGTTCGGGAACTCTATGTTCGAACCCGGGGTTCTGGAACTCCATGTTCGAACTCTGGGTTCGGGAACTCTATGTTCGAACCCGGGGTTTGGAGAACTCCATGTTCGAACCCCGGGTTCGGGAACATGGGTTCGGGAACTCTATGTTCGAACCCGAGGTTTGGGGAACTCTATGTTACTCCGGGTTCTGGAACTCCTTCCCCTCTCCCGCTCCAGGGAGTTCGAACTCTGGGTTCGGGAACTCCATGTTCCGTCAAACTTCAAAGAATAGTAGGGAGCATGCTCCATCATCGTTCGGCGAAGGGAGACTTGAGAAGGGGGGGCTCCAACTCCCCGCTGTTTTTAGAAGCTTGCCGATAACAAAGAAAAGATTGCCAATGACGCGAACAAATGAACGTAAACGTAGGCGTCAACTCACAAGAAGGAGAGAAAGCGGGACGACAACGCTTTAGGAACGGTGAATGGGGCATGCTCCATCATAGTTCGGCGAAGGGGGGCTTCAGAAGGCGGGGCTTCTCGAAGGGGGCTTGAGAAGCCCCCTGCCCGGGGGGGGAGGGGGGGGGGAGGGGGGGGGGCTGAAGGTTGAAGGGTTGAATGAAAAACTCCAACCTACAATGGTCGTAGCAAAACTTGAATCACTGAAACTTCAATATTGATCTCAATCTCTTGCAAGCAACACAGCAAAGCTTGGCTCAATGCTGCAATCACTCAGCAACTCTGTTTTGCGTGTCTCGTGTCTTGAGCCAATGTTGATGTTCACATGTCAAGTGAGAATTTCAATGTCAACGGTCAACATGAAATACTGCAACACAAAATACATGAGCAATCAGCCAATACATCTAACACGGTCCCTTGGCTACGATCATTTGATCAGTAGCCACACCTTCAAACAATCACCACTATAACTTCATTCAAACGCGCTAACGCAATCAGCAAAGAATCTCGCGCAATACAGATTCCGACTCAATCAACCGGCTCACTCACTAGGCAATCTCACTTGGTCAGCTCGATAAAGGCACGCAGGGCGATCTGCCTGTGCCAATGTGAAGACCTGAAGAGGCATGGTCGGTGAACATGCTCAATTCGCTTCACAAAGCCGCAGTCACTTGTCCATATCAATGCTGCAAGGAAAGATCATCACTGGAATCCTACTTCCATCAATGAAGCAGCGATATCAATGTCCAAAAGAGAGAAAACGAATTCCTCACAAAGGTTGCAGAATATTCAGTACCAAGAGCATAAGCAAATCACTCCATCAATCTCGTAGGAAAACCAATCGAAGAAGTCACATGCACTGATTCAATGTCTGCAAACATCATTCCGAAATCCAGTCAATACAAGCGTTTGCAG